GGATCTACTTCAACAAGCCCGAGCTGCTTTGAGGTCTGGGGTTCAGGGTTTAGGGGGTTTACGGGGTTTGGGGTTTAGGGTTTAGGGGATTCAGGGTTCAGGGTTGAGAGTTTAGGGTTCAGGGTTCAGGGGGTTTAGGGTTCAGGGGGTTTAGGGTTCCGGGGGTTTAGGGTTCAGGGTTTAGGGGATTCAGGGGATTCAGGGTTTAGGGTTTAGGGTTTAGGATTTAGGGTTTAGGGTTTAGGGTCTAGGATTTAGGGTCTAGGGTTTAGGGTTTCGGTTTTAGGTTTTAGGATTTAGGGTTTAGGGTTTAGGGCAGAGCTGCTCAGAGGTCTTGCTTTCAGGGAGCCCAATAGCCCCATAAAGGAAGCCTTCCATGGGAGCCTTAACGAAACCCTTAGAGGAACCCTTAAAGGAACCGCTGAAGGAATATGCATGAAGTTCCTGGGGGCTCAAAATACCGTTGATGATATACATCCTGCATGACCTTAAGGGCCCTAAAGTGTGGGCTATGCAGGATTTGTATCATCAGCCGCAGCATGGTTCTATGATTCAAAAACCCCAAAACAGATACCTTGCAAGTTATCAGTTTTTGGGTTTCGGGATTCGGGTTTGAGGGCCTTTGAGGGTTGAAGGGTTCGGGTTGCGGGGCATTGGGGCCTTCCAGCAGCTGCCTTGAGGCCAAAGCAAGACTTAAAGGATCATGGGACGTAGTGAGTAGGGTTATAAGTTCCCCAATTGGGGTTATAAGTATATTTACCTTAGTTATAACCCTACTTACTAAGTCCCATGATCCTTTAAGTAGTTCTACTTCAAGAGCTCCGCCCTAAACCCCAAGACAAAGATTCACAGGGACGCTGGGGAGGTGGGAGTTACGAAAACCAGCTGCCTCAAAAGAGATTTTACCAGGGATCGGAATATGAAGGCCCTTGAAAAGAGGGGGGGGGGGGGATCAGGTGTTCGCATTAGCCGTGTTTATAGAAATCCTTGCCCGAAATCAACAAACCTTAGTGACCGTCGTAGAGGGGCACTAGGGATGGTGAGTACAGCAGCAACATGAAGGTTGGACTAGTCGTCACGCGAGTGGTAGCAGTCGTGTAGCAAGACTAGAGCACCCTAAACCCTAAACCCCCAAACTCCTGACCCTAAACCCCCCAACTCCAAAACCCCTACCCCTAGATCCTAAACCCAGCCTAAGGCCCCTACAGTAGGCCACAAACCCTCGTCCCTACTTGCATCAGGTGGTCATGAAGGGGAGCTCGTGACTTGCGTCTGCGGCTGAAACGACGAAGAGAAGAGGATTTAGGAATTAGGATTCAGGGTTTAGGATTTAGGGTTTAGGATTTAGGGTTTAGGGTTTAGTTCTGTATCTTCCGTCGATGCCCTCGCAGAAGAACATGCAAGATCCCGTTTCACAGCGGAAGCGCACATGTCCCGGTTTTGCCGAAACTGCGGAAACATTGCCTGGCCCGGTTCGCCGATGTAAGGTGATCTTGCAGCTGCTCTGATTTTTCCATCTCAAGAGTTGCCGCACGTCCAGGCCAGCGTTTTTGATGGTTCCTGCGAGCAGAGAAAAGAAGCGTCCAACCTCGAGGTTTTAGGTTTAGACATAGTGCACAATATAGTATCGTGTCGTTTATTATGGCATACTCTGATGCAGTTTACCATTGTGTTGAGGACAGTATGGTACAGTATAGTCTGGTCTAGTATTGTCTCGTCTTGTAGCGTATAGTAATATAGGGGCCTTAACAATTAATTAGAATATGTTTTTTCTGCGAATTCTGGAGCGCTTCAAGGATGTTCGCTGTTGCAGACGTAGCTTATGTCCCTTAGCTTTAAGCCCAAACCCTGAGCCGATTATGTGGCATTCACCGAATACTTGGAGCATCATGAGACTTAGTAAGTAAGGTTTAGGGTTTTAGGGCTTTAGGGTTTTAGGGTTTAGGGTTTTAGGGTTTAGGGTTTAGGGTTTAGGGTTTAGGGTTTAGGGTTTACGTGGAGGATCATGGGACTTAGTAAGTAAGGTTATAAGTACCCTATTTGGGGTTATAACTATAGTTACCTTATTTATAACCCTTGTTGCCAAGTCCCATGATCCTCCAAGTATTGGGGGATCAGGAGGTTTATTAGCCAGGAGTCTGAGTCTGCAGTAAACACTAAACCCTAAACCCTGAACCCTAAACCCTAAACCCTAAACTTAAAACGTAAAATCCTATACCCCCAAAACCCTAAAACCTAAACCTGCCTCTTGGGTTCAGGGCTTTAGGTCGGCACGTCTAGCCGAAGTCCTACGGCCTGAGCCTAACCCCAGGAAAACCTTCAGGGTTCAGGGCTTAAGGGGTTTAGGGGTTTAGGGTTTAGGGGTTCAGGGGAGCAAACCCCTCGCAAACCCGGGATTCGAAAGCGGCCTCGCATGCGCACGTTGAAGCCGGCGAAGATATCCTGGAAACGAGTTGAAGAAACACGGTTTAGAGTGTTGCGGTCTCGGCAGGTGCCTCTGGGATCATGAAGAAAGTCCGCACGATACCTACACCTTTGTGCCCAAGGCCCGAACATGCACAACTACTTCCCGTCTGAGCATACATTGTCCAATCGCCCCTCAACCCTTCGAAACAAATCTGCCAAGACCTCCGATATAAACACCAAACCTGCTGCAGCCCAACCGAAACCCACCCTAAGTCCTAAACCCCCCAAAACCCTGAACCCAAAACCCGCCATGAAACCATCCAGCAAAGCTAGAAGGCCCGGCAATGGACGATGAAACCCCCAAGCCCCAAACAGCCCTAGGAAGAAAGCAGTGGAGGACTTGTTAATTTGGGTTTTTTGGTGAGGGCAAGTAGGGTTTAGACAAGTCCTAAGCGCACTTCTTGGACCGAAAAACAACAAACCTTATCCAAATCCATCCACGGTGCGTCCTAGCTCCTGAACCCTAAGAATACCAAAGTACAAAAAACACAAACAAAGTCCTACACCGAAAAGACCCTAGAAATGCTATGTAAACTAGCGCGCACCAAACCCCTTAACAACAACACAACAATCCAAGAGAGACCCCGTTAAACAAAGCCTAAACCCTAAACTAAATCCCAAACCCTAAAC